TTAACTTTAAATCTGACAGAATATTTGCAGGATGCTGAGAAGTACAAAATTCTGAAGAAAATTTTAAAAGACCTAAATGAAAGGAGAGAGATACTATGCTCATGAAGTGGGACACTCCTAATTTTTAGGCTATCAGTTCTCCGCATTTTGATCTATAGAGTCAGCTAAGTTCCAGCGAGAGGCCCAGCCAGATGTTTTCGGAGATAACTGACAGGCCAGTCCTAGTTGCAGAGCCCTTTTGGAAGAGAAGAGGGAAGCTGGAGATCACACAATAGAGGAATCTAGGTGATGGGTAAATGGGAACTCTCTGTACTGTTTTGGCAATCCTTTTGTAAGCATAAAATTACCCCAAATAAAATGTTTTCAGAATCAAGTATAATTTATGAGGCCTCTAGTAGAAAACGGCAGTCCCTACCATGTTGTTCCCCGGACTGGAGTCTCACTCCTAAAAATACCCGTCTGATATTTTATTTATGTATTTCTAAATAAAATGCTTCTGCCATTGTTGTTGGGTTTTTCCCTTTTAGACATTGTCTGTAGGCTTCCTTCTATGGAAGATTAAAATATGACTATAGCTTTCACGACTCCATACACGCCCCCTCCTCATTTACCCAGTAAGATTCTGATTTTTGTTTAGCATATTGTATATGCATATAAACACGTGCACACTTACACCTACACACGCTTGGGGGTCCGAGTGGATGCTGCTTGAGTAGAGCCGCGTAAAGTACTACAATTCTATTTCATTTCCAGCAATTCTTGTTTGTTTTTCCTGAGCGAATCATTGACAGTTATTTTCATGGCTTAGTTTTCTGTGTATCCATCACTAACTCACTGCAGGAAATTCTAAAGGCATTGTAATTCCTCTCCAAAGCTTCACACTGTATAATCTTCCAATCCCATTTATTTTTCTTGGAGACGCCCCACAAACCCCTGTGCTATGATGCTCCCATGAGGCTGGCTCTCCCTGGGTCTACAGAGCAGCTGTTTTCCTGGGACTTCCCATCACTCGGATCCCAGGAGTCCCCTTTTTGTTTGTTTTGGTCTCTGTTTTCATTCTTTTATCAAATGGGTATAAAGTCATGTTTAATAATGACTGAAAAGCTGATTGAAATCCTGTTTGCCTGAGTGATGCACATAGATAATCTGACATGATGGAGGTGCTTGATTGAGGGAAGTCTGAGCGTCAGTATCAGCATGTCATTTTCCCCCTGGACTGATCCGCGCCCACCAAATAGAAGGGGCCGTGTCCTGCCATGGGGTCCTGTGCTTGGGTCCTGGGGGAAGGGTGGTGCTGGAGAGGTTTTACCCAGTACATCTCCCACTGCTCCCAGAGGAGCCCGTCTGGTTGCACTTTGGTCTTGTTGCAGGGGAGGGTGGGCAGGAGGGTGGGGTAGGAGCTTTCTCTACACCCTGTTCTGCATTTTCAGAGGTTACTAGTAGCACCTGTTTGTCTGCTATGCTGGTAATCTGTGCAGGGAACTGGACACTTCCTACTGACTCCCTCTTTAGACACTTATGTTTAAGCTTTCCTTGCCCTTCTGAGTCAGTTACCATTTCTCCGTCTGCTTTGCAGCTTTCAGAATATCATCATATTTTATCTGCCCTGGCCTCTCTCCCCATTCCTCTTAGTTCTGTCATTTCAGCTGTGTATTGGGAGATGGTGAGGACACACAGTGCTCATTTTGCTGTGTTCACCCCTAGTTGGCCTCATTCTCTTCCTTGTGTGTGATGCTGCCCTTGACTTGCATCTGATCCCAGCACCATTTTCTGGCTTGGGTTCACTGCAGCTACACCCCTCACCTTGTTCAAGGAGAATGGTTAGGTGGGTAAAGTGAGAGAGAAACATTTGGGTTTTGCCCAGTCTGGAATTAGTTGTGTAGTCAGTCCTACATTAGGGAAAGTGGTCTCACTAGTTATCAGTCTCGTAATAAGGCAAGAAAATGGGCCCTATTTAAATTCATCGACAGGGTTCAAGCTTTATGAGTGACAGTTTTAAAATGTCAGAAGTATCATATTCGCACTGGTACTGAGATGACTCAGCCCTCATTTACGGGCTGTACACAAGGGATTTGATCCTCTGTGTTCATGCAGCCCCGTTCCTTGCTTTATATAGCTTCTCAGTTATTTTCTTCCTTGTCGTATATATTATGAGAAATAGGTCGGGTTAACTGTTTATTTTTAAATTCACTTACTGCTTTAACTGCCGTCTTGCAGAGTAGATTTTCCCTATTTTGAACACTCTACTAAGGTAAAGATAAGTTTGGCTGATGAAAAAATTTACACTCTTTCTGACTCGATTTTGTTATAATCAAAGGAGTGTTTTCTGCTATCTCTGTACAGTGTTCATTCCTGGGATGCCTACGTAAATTAAATTTATTAACCCATTTACCAAAATGCTACTGTAGATGCCTTGCGGCTTTATTTTCGTGACATTTTGAAAGGGACAAATGCAGGGAACATACGTTTTCTCTGAGAGATTGTTTGACTTCAGTTGACATTTTAATGCGGATTGCATTTGACCTCAGATGCCGCAGGCACTTTTCAGCCTGGTTCCCTGGGCTCTCTCACGGCTACGCTGTGTTTCTCGCTGTTGCTGTTCTTTGGCATGCCTCGTGTCTGAAATGAACCTGATGTGGAAACGTCCCGCGTTTTATTTCCTGGGCTAACCATATGAGTTCGTAGGGAACTAGTGTGCCTCTGTAATTGATAATGTGCGTTGACTGATAAGAGTAAGGCAAACACTGTGTGACTTAAATGGGCTATTTTAACCACCCGTAAAGAGCCATAGACAAACATTTCAGTGTAAAGTTACCAGTTACCAATTTTCTAATACCTTCTTTCATTGAACTTAAGATAAATCGTTTTTTTCTTTTCTTTTTTGCAATGTCGGTTGGGCAGTAAAAGTTAGGCAGAGACGAAAGCAGACTCTGATGACAAAATGCTCATGTACACACAGATCTAACTGAAGGTTGAACAGGGTCCCTGAGAACCCAGCCCTCTGCTTTCTGTCTCTGTCTGATGGAGACAGATTTCTCGTGTTGTACTGCATTCTCATTATATCATCTTGGGCCCAGCACCCATGGAGCTGTTGCTCCTGTCTTTCCTGGCTTGTCTCCTGATTCTCCTCCCCAACAGCTCTGCTACGCACGGATGCCCTGAGCACACAGGGACAAAAACAGGGTTATTGTCATTTCGTTGCTACCATCTGGAGCCGGCCAGCCCTGTCCTCTTACCACTTCTTCCGGAGCTCCCTCCACTGCAGCCCAGAGAAGAACCTCCTTTAACCTGTCTGGGCTCATGGTATTCTCCCTGAGCTGGAGCACCCTCTCCCCTTCCGGCTGCCTCCCTCTTTGCCCGCTGAACTTCTACTCAGTTTATAGCCCCCGTGGACCCTTTCTTGGTCCTCCTAGCCTGAGTTAGTTTGCTTTCTCCCGTGGACTCGCACAGCACCACTCTGGAGAAGCCAGCATCTGTGGTTTGCCATCATGTCCCTTCTAGGTTCAGGCGTGGGCTTCCAGGACCCAGCTTGGGATCTTACTCATGGTGGGCTCTCAGTAAGTTGTTCACAGGTGAACGGAGAGTGAGCAGAAAGAAATAGTTGTTGAGTAAGTAACTGCAGGTGTTGAAAGTAAGATCCAGGCCACTGCTGAGAATGATCAGATTCTCTATTCTGTTCTTGTCTTTATTCTACTATCATGCTCACTTTTTCTTAGAAACAAAAAATTGCTGTCTCATGTTGGATAAGTACTAGGTTTAATATATTAAAAAGGAAACATTTCAGACTTAAATCTCATAGATGGTTCTTAACTTTACAAACTACCAAAAAAAGAAGACCTAGACCTCATTCCTAGTAATTCAGCAAAAGCCCCTTAAGGTTTATGTAGCAACCCTAGAAAAAAAGAGTACATTCACTGAATGTAGGAAAGGAAATTGCGGATGAAAAGGTAAGTGTGAGTTACATAATTCAGTTTGATTATTTTAGTTGTAAATTCTGGGAAGTAGAAGCATACAGATTTTTAGGGAGTTTGATCATATGGTAGAGATGACTGCAGAATCTCAAGTATGGTTGAATTAAAAATGAAAACATTATTTTGATGATCTAAAAATGTGCAGGTTCTTATAATAATGATGATGATGAAAGCTTGTTTGTGAGACATTTTACTCTTCCAAAATGTAGTATTTATGCAGTCCGAAGAGTCTGATGGCATTCTGGTGTTCAGTGCACACCTGCTTCAGATCAATGGTGTAGTCAACTGCTGGGTTTTCCTTTCTTTCATTTTGGTTTTGCTGTGTCTTCAAACTGGTTTATTGTCCACTAAGAGCCTAATAAATCTGTAAAACATTTTCTGCTTCTTATGTCACTTATAGGTACTGTGGTCTTTGGAATTTGGCCATTGGATTTCCGAGGAACCGTTCGAACTGTCTAACTGCTTCCCTGCAGCTCCTGTAAGTCAAATGTTATTTTATGATGGTAAATACAGTCTGATATTCTCAGGAAGTTATTATTAGCATAGATACTGGCTTAAGTTTTTTATTAAATCAAGAGCAATTATGACCATAACTAAAAAGACATATTTGCAGCTCAACACATTTTGTCTATGTATTTGTAAGAACAAATGTGAGAATGTGAGTCAAAAAGTTGTGAGGACTGTAGTCTCAAAAAACTTAACCATTAAAGTCCTCAGGATTGAGAAAAATGGAAATGAAAAAAGACTGGATTCTGGAGAAGGTAGTATTATATCTTGCTTACTGCTTCAAAAGTAACGCGGTGACTGTTAACAGAGATAGAACTGATGGGTATAAAAATTGTGGCCTGCTAGCATTGTGACGTGGCCTTTCTATTTTGATGTTCTGTCTCTAAAACTCAACTTAAGTTTACTGACTTTCAGGTATTTCGAATTCTTAATGGGAAATTTCCAGGTTCTAATTTTTTAAAGATTAAGAAGTAGGTAATTTAGTTGGAAGCAGGATTCTGCAGAGGTTGGCTTTCATTTTCAAATGTTAACTGGTTTGTGACTTTTTATTCTTTCAAAAGATTAACACCTGATAGATAAATGGTGATTTTCAGTCTGTGACTGGTCTCTAGATTTTTTAATTGTTTGAGGATGCCACATGACTATCATGTAACTGGAAATTGAACTCTGCCCTCCAGTCACTGTGTTTGTTTAGTTGTTGGGTTGTTTTTGTATTCATTTTTGAGATGACTGTTTTGATTTGCTCTCAACTTTATAAATGTTATCTCAAGGAGAGAAAAAAATTCTTCTCAGCAAGACTCGAAATACTGGGTAAGGAACCGAAGTGTAAAGTAAAAACAAAAATTCTCCCATTCTCTGTCATGAGAGAGTACGTATAACTCTGACTGACATCCTGAGGTTTGCCTTTGAAATACACTTTATCTCCCTACGTGGGCAAGTGTTACAAAGATGTTGTTGCCGGTTTTTCCTGTATTGTCATTTCCCCATCTCAGTATCTGTCCTGTAGTCATTGAGATATCTTGGAAACTTACTGTTTCTTTTGACGTGGTGATATTTCCTTATTATCTGATGCTTTTTAATTTGATACACAGCTATGTGTACGTTCAGCATCCGTTAGGTGGGTAAGGCCTTCCTACCTGGGGTAAGACGAGCTGTCCTAAGACGGGGGTGCTTTGCTCATTGATGTGTGTGTACAGCGTGCCGCGTGGCGGGGAAGCAGAGGGCCTGCCTCCGGGGCCCGTGATTGACTCAAAACAGGTAGCATCAGCCAAGTGTTCCAAAACTAAGGGGCAGGGGTTGGTATGGGAGTAGAATAAATTAGATAAGAAAAATGGAGTAAAGAAACAAAAATGGTGGTAGAACATTATAAGGTGAAGACAGATACGTGGTAAATGCTGGCTGCAAATTTGTCTCTTAGCTTCCTGGCAGTTGACTCGAAAGCGAATATATAAGAAATTGTTTCCAAATTATGAAGCACTGCACAAATGTTCATTAGTATTACTTGTACTATGAAAACTTCAAACAGATTAGAAACTCGAGCAGTTTCAGGTTTTGCAGTCCTGAGCTGAAATCCGTGCTCTCAAAATTTTCTGTGAACGTTTGAATATGCTGTAAATACCAGGTTTGGTGTTTGTACTCCAGGACACCTTTTTTTTTTTTTAAGATTGATGATGATTTAAGTTAATCTTACTAATGCAAATTATTTTTTTCCTTAAATAAATTCAGGGCTGAATCTCACTGGACAAGTATAGCTTTGTTAATAAGTGTTTTAAGTGGAAGAGTTTTCTCAACCACAATCTGTTGTAGACTACTTCCCTAAAATACATCGTGGTAGAAGAGAAAAAACACTCCTGTATTAGAATAGCGGGTAAAAGATAGGAACGCCTCTTTGTCGTGAAATTAAATGTATAATTTTTTTTCCTTAAGAAAATCAAAACTTTCCTTGTCACGAGTCATAATCTGTTATTTCAGAATCAAATGACAATGCTGTAAATATGATCATAAAAGTTAAATGTAGTCATCTCACCTAATAAGTTATATTTAATTACTAAAAATACCTTCATATTTAACAACAAGGCAGAAAAAATAGTACAATCTTCATATATACTAAAAGGACACATTTCTGTTAATAATGTCAGAGATCCTGAAAGTTTTCACCATAGAAACTTGAAATATATATTTGAGCATTAACTTAAAACTAAGCTGACAACACATATGTAAATATGCTGTTTTCAAAATGAAAATTTAAAGCACATAAGAGGAGGACTAAAAATGCATTAACTATGTTTTTCCTTCTCCAAATATTAAACTGCTAATAACCACTTCTGACAAAAATCCCTGAATATATATCTTTATGGCTTAGAGAATTTTTTCCTTCCTTTTAATTACGATAGCGATGCTGAATTTGGGACGTATGGATATTTACACAGTCAGTAAACAGTGCTCAGAAGAATGCAGTTCCAAGATTATCTCTACTACATGGCATAAGTGTTCTGTTTTCCAGTTATTTACTGATGAACTCGCACATGACATTCTTGGTTGTGACAACAGAGTCTGTAAATTGTCAGTCTCATTCTCCAGCTTAAATTTGTCTCCCCGTGGGCTTTCTACCAGGGCACCATAGCAGGCTGTTGCTTGTTCTGGGTTGTGCTTTGGTTCGCAAAGTGGTGCAGGTTTAAGTGACAAAGTTTCCGGGGCTCTAATTTGGAGCACATGGGTCCCCTCGGCCCTGGGAGCGTGCTGTCTGTCTGAGGAGGACGACGAGGCAGGAGGCAGCTGTGTCTTCTAGAGCTGTGGGAGTTAGTCTTTGAAAACAGGACAGCAGCCCGTCCCCAGGTGCGTGCAGGCATTTAGAAGTCTGCTGGTCGGATCATCATGGCCGTGGCCTTGAGCGAGTAGCCCGACCCTTTCCAGTAGTACCACTTAATGCCGTTGAACTTATTTGTGTTCTGCCTCTGCGGGTAGTACATTCCGTTCAGGTTGGAGGGACCACACGCATCAAACCACCAGCCTGTGAAAGTAAAACACAGAAGGAATTAGGACCCAGGTAAGCCCAGCCATCTTACCGTGGAGTTACAAGTACCGGCTAATCCGCCGGCCGCATTCCGAGCATTTTAGGAAGACACAGGTGGTCGTTCACGGGTGTAGAGTGCTGCGCGGCAGCCGAGGGCTGTGGGCCTCCACCTCTGTGCTGGCTGAACCGTGGTCCCCTGAGGGCACGTGTGCTTCCGGGCTTTCTCACTCCTCCTGTGCCGTCTGCTAGGGCCCATCATCCACAGATGTGAACAGGAGGCCCACGGTGTGAGTGGAAGTATGGAAAAGCCAAAACCCCAAGAGCTGCTGGGTAGCTGTCACAGGGCAGGGGTCACCTTCCTGTTCCAGCAACACGGGATCAGACTGATTCAGGCTCCCCTCCTCCAACAAAGACATCGTTTTTGTTTAAAACGTAACCCTGAATTTTAAGTACTCAGTGGAGCTAGATACAAAGGAAATCTTTAAGTCCCAGACACAAAAAGGGAACCTAAAGCTCGAGCGGTGTGCCCACTAAGGGGAAGTGGGGGCCCTGCATGGCACCAGGTGGGGGTGTCCAGGACTAGGCTTGGGGTCTTAACTCCCTTCCCCGGAGGCCCTGGGTTTGTTAGGGGAAGGAATTGCCTTGATCTACGTGCATTAATCTGAATAAATCTTTAAAACTTTGTGTTGGAAGGACACATACAGTATGACGCCATTTATGTAAAAATTTAAAATCAGAGAAGAATAGCTAATAACTACGGGGAAAGAGTCTCTCCATACCTAGGAAAGAAAGAATGTGAATGTTACCTCAGGGACAGGCATTGCTAGGACATGTGTTATTTCTTTTAAAAGCATCTGATGCAATTACTATATTACAACATTTACACACTGGGTTGTGATCACCAGTTATTTCATCCAGGTGCCTTGGTGCTTTCCTGGTGGTAACAGCTCCGTGACTCAAGTAGGTTTGGATCAGTGTTGATTTGATAAGACGTTTGGGTGTGTGATTCACAGTCCTTCAAAATATCCACGGACAGATTTACAGGTCTGTCCATTCTGGAGCCTGTTTTCTGACTCAACTACGGAATTTACGGTCCATGCAGAGCTCCAGCTGATCATTAAGCTGGCCTGTCCGTGGTCCAGACCACGGGCTGGAATCTGACCTCCACAGTGGGGACCACTGCACTCTCTCTCGGGCTGCATTTCTTCTCCGCAGTCTCTTTCCACTTCCACTCTCAGTCCTAAATCTTGATTTGCGTAAATAAAGATGTTTCCTTGGTTATTAATGCACTGATACTCTCCCGAGCCGCTCTTGACGTTCGGGTGGCCTGGAAACTGCCGTCCTCTGAGTGGACAGCCCGCTGGTGTGGGAACGGCCTGCTCCCCCTACTCTGCCCCCTCCCCGTGGTTTTAAAAGGATTTCTAAAGCCTTTAAAAAGAATCATTATGGTAGAATGAGGGAGACAAGCAGCTTTTACACAATCAGTGTCCTCTGGTTGAAATAATGGCTGAAGTAAGCAAGGCTAATGGGAAGACCTGTGTTACCAACGTGTGTTTATACATAGAATAGCTGATCTCAGGAGCCTGGTTCTCTTGGCATTATTTTGGAGACTTGAAAATTACTGGATGTCAAATTATCTCTTAAGTTAATCTTTCCTTTTATCCGTAAATGATTCTTTTCTTTTTCTTGTATGGGTATATACTTTTATTTGTTTCGGGAGTAGAATGGTAGGCTCATATGGTAGTACATTTATAACTTGTAAACGATTCTTAACTGCAGTGCAAACGCGCGGTAAGCTTCGATCTCTGCTTGTTTACGCGGTACGTTATATTCATAAGACAAACTGACCACGGCTCTTCCCTCTGGTTTTCTGGGGTGAGTAATGAATGAATTTTTGGTGACACAACTCATGGTCCCTACAAATTAAGCCCTGCCAGTTTCCTGTTTGTCTCTACATTGCGTCTGCACTGTTGGCAGAATTTTTGTTGCTGATTTAAATCTTTCAGTGTTTTTAAAAACTAACTTGACAGCATTTGCCAGACTTTTTTCTTGTCTCAGGCACAATGAATGGGTTCTGGTTATTTCACTTTTGAACTTTTAGGAATTAGAGCAATAAATTTTCTAACAGTTGGTTCCTGGCACTGAACACTCACCTAGCCGTTGTGACAGTGACATCACATTTGCTTAGGGATATGCTGTCCTTTTTTTTTTTTAAGAAGTGTGACATGAAAGGCAAAAGGCAGAAAGAGCCTCAAAATAAAGAACTTAATTTAAACTGGACAATCATTGATTTTTAAATTGATGCATAGAAAAGGGGGTTGGTTAATTTGTTTCTTTGCATTGTAAGTATTTGCTATACATTAATGAAACCCTTTAAAAAAACCTGAAAATTCCTTGTTTGAATAATAAATTATTAATTGGAAACATTTCTACAGGAATAACTCTGTATCACTGTTTTGGTTGCTATTTTGTTTTTTTAACCTTTTTAATAAAGCAAAATGGAATTAAAGCATCGCTCCAAGATCTGATACTCAGCACAGACCCAAGGGAGCTTGCTGAATATCACATGGCCCCTCTCCCTGCCAGGGATGGGTCCTGAAGAGACACAGTTGGCCTGCTGACAATTCTAGCTCAATGTCATGTTTGTGCGTAAAACTCCAGTCTGAAAAAGCGAAAAACGAATCTCCCTGTACTGAGCAAATGAGTCTTACTTATGAAATTTGGACGTTGTCACCAATCACAGGTTGAAGTCCAAACAGCCAGCCTTTCACGCTCTGAGGTCCTCCCTTGCCAACACAAATAGGAAGAGAGAAAAGTCAGCTCACCTCCTGTGAGCATCTGTGAACACTTGCAGATACATTTGTCGTTGTCCGCGTCCTTCGTGCTAAAGTCGTTTCCTGGTTGGCTTATGCTGCTTATTTTGCCGGCTGTCCCCGTGAGTCCTTTAAGGTGAATCCTGTGAGCAAGCAAAGGGGGAAAAAAAAAAGGAAGCAAAACATTATTGGCTTGGGCAGTTGATTTACCAGAGTGGAAAGTTTTTTTTCACAGTGAAGAATTTCATTCTGCAGAGATGCCTTCTGTGCTGGTTACTGCGCTAATGCACACTCCGCTCCGACAGAATGTTTTTGCGCTGGTATAAACAGGAACCAACTTATCATCAAATCCTTAGGCAAAGAGGAATGTTTTCATGAAACCTTCAACGCATATCACTTACACAAGCGTCGGCAGGAACTTTGGGGCCCTATAATTTATTTTCCTGCTGCTTTCAGATAAACAGGAGAGGGGAAAATACATGGCAAGAGGGGTCCTCTTTCCAAGTCCCCAGGCATCATTCATGTAGAAACGAGAACCTGAGGTGACTGGTGGGGTACGGAGGGCAGCAGACAAGGAATGCCCGCTGGATTTGGCGTAGAAATCTAGTGAACTACATGGAAAACAAATCCTCACGGCTGCCCTGCCTCCTTTCTGAACAGGATTGTAACAAACCTGCCAGACTCTGGAAAAGAATGAGTGTCACATGAAGTTAGGCCAGACTCTGAGTAATATAATAGTGGCCATGCTCTGAGGAGCCTGCCGAAATCTGGCTTGCACCGGTGACGCACGTGCCGAGGAGGAGGGAGGGGGAAGGGGCAGGTCCCTGAGCCCCGTGCCAGGGAAGCCCCCTGCAGACAGAGCAGGGTGCTGGGGGGCCATGTGCAGTGTGGGAGCCCGGGGCGTGGAGCCTCCCCTCCTGGCGATAGCAGCGTCGGGGGGAGAAGTGTGCTGTAAGCCCCACACACACTGCTCCTCTTGGTAACACCTGCTCGGGTTTGCTAACTACTATCGTGGAAGGAGTGTAACTTCCTAGAATTCGTGTTGGAACAGAGGGTGGGGACTGAGGGAGGGCTCACCAGGGGACTAGCTCTAACCAGGCTGTGCCCAGCGAGTGCTCTGAACGCCCAGACCGACCCCAGCAGGCAGGTGTTACCCGTTTTTACTTTTAAAATCACTGAGGGTCAGAGGTAGAAACTCGCCCCAAGTCACAACTTGTACGTGGTGGAGCTGGGGTTTGCACCGGAGGTGGCTGACCCCCATGTTCTGGTCCCACCCTGGTGCACACCGTAACAGGGAAGCTGGGCTACTGAGGAGGTAGCTGTGGAAGGTGAGAGGGCAGCACATCAAATGAGTTCCATAAAGCGTTGGTCCTGAGTAACTTTTGTGTTAATGACTCGTTTCAGATTGTGATGTTGTATCTCTGGAAACCACATCATAAAGCATTGACGGAGTTTCCGAATTGCAAGGTTATGCTCATTTTCAGAAGTGACCCTTGGTCCCGGCACAGCCTCAGTATACCTGCTGCGAAGCGTTTGTGAAAGTTCTGTTCTTCATTTGGATTTTGAAACACTTGAATTTCCATCCAGGCCCTTCTCATTAACCATAGATTGAACTGAGATAAACCACTCCCCTTTTAACTCTCCTGTCTCCTCGGAACAATCTCAGTTCTCGTGGAACTCATTAAATTTCCCCAAAGCAAAATAAGGGAGAATACTATTTTTTTTATGAGTCTCTGCTAGAAAGGTTGTATCTTTTAAGATACTTCTGTCTGTATGGCCCATTGGTTTAAAGTTGCCTTCTTTTAAAGTTTAATTATGAAGAACGGTCACGTTCTTGAAATAGCTTTATATTGGCATCTGTTGCTTCTGTATCACAGCAGAGTAAAGGGAGAGGTAGTGGCCGCATTTAATAATTAAACCTCAGTGTTTGTATAGAACTGCCAGAATGTTTGTGAAAAGTGACCAATTCTTAATGTTTCATATACAAATAGTTTTCAGTTTTAGTAAAAAGAATCATATTCTACTGATGTATTTATCCATTCTTATAACATGTATCTTTCAGTTTTCCAGCATTTGGGGAAAATTTTTTTTAGAAAAAAGCAACTTAGTCACTACATACAATTGGCATTATGAAACCTCTGTAGCTGTTTTAAGTTTTAGTCACATTGCAGTTTTCTTATCACATTGACATGTTTTATTAGGATAATAATTTTTTTAGTGTAATATCTGTCCTATACTGCCAAGTAAATTAAACTGAGCTTTAAACAAATGTGTTCTTTTAAAAATAGCATATCTAAAAGTTGACTGCATTTCTAAGGGAAATATCTGTTGAGAACCGTCACATTTTAAAATATTTTTATAATGTCAGCATACGAGGGTAATGACCCATTTTGTAAAATCTTCTTATATAAACAGTCTAATCCCTAATTTTTGTGTTTCTTTTCTCTTTTTTCTTTTTTTTTTTTCCTTTTTTAAAAATTCCTCTCTTGTAGATTCCTAACTGTTGCCAGTTGAAAAAATATTTAGCTTGGAGGTAAAACAGTGACCAACCACTCATGTCTGAAAATTCAGTGAAGTTTTGATCTCTTTGGAGTCAATCTGGGGCTGCAGTGAGGCCCAAACACCTGTCTGTTCATTCATCTCAGTCAGTATCTCCCGGAGAGCCCTGCTCTTTCCGAGCTGATGGGCTGTGTTTCCCTGCCTTCTTAGAAGTTGTGTCAGTGTTTGCCACACATTATCTGTTTTCAAAATGTGCTTCTGAATTTTGGCCCACTGTTCATAAAGCAGGACCCTGGACACCAGACAGTTCTCAGGTAGCGGTTCAGCAAGCTGGCTTTCAGCCCATTTCCCGTTCTGTCCATCACGAGCCACTCCTAGGAAACCAGCTCAAGGACTTTGAAATCATGGTTTTTTCCCCAAACGACTCAGCTCTTGGATTTGCTCCTGAGCAGAGGGTCTGAGCTGGGCATTAGTGAGATTTAGATGAGACTGTAGGCCATTGACGCCTATCTCCTGTGATGTTCCTATTGAACTTCACCGTTAATGTCTGACCTTGGAGAGGGTGTTTCAGAACGCGTGCTGCATGACCACCAGGATCACTGATCGCTCTCTAGACTCCTCCGGGGCCATGCCGGCGACTGAACCGTTGTGTTGTGCCTTCTCAGACCAATTCCTGCGTTGCCATCTGGCACTGCAGCTCCCTTCTCTGCCCCGCCGTTAACATGCTTTTCTGAGCATCTCTCCGTGTAACAGTGCAGATGTATGAGCCTTTACTGTGCTTGCACAGTGGATTGTCAGGACCCCTCTGCTGCCCTCTGTCTCTGTTCTCACAGCGTTTTAGAGCCAGAGGTACATTCCCAGGCAGAGTTGCCCATGCTTTTCTTGGAACATTCAAGATTAGCCCCACCAGATGGGTGGGAGGAGGCAGCTACTGATGGAGTGCTGCGAATGGGCGAGTCTTTCTACAGCAGCGAGCAGGACCAGACTGCCCAGCCAGCCCACCTAATCCCGCCACTTCTGAACTTGGCACCTCGTTGTGACTTTGGGGTGGAACGTAACAACTGAGCGTGTTTCAACTGCCAAAAGACAGATTTAACTTTTCAAACCCTTCTGGAAGCAAAGAGTATAGTCATACATATGCATCTGTTGTGGTGTTGGTGAGATATTTTATCACAGAGACAGAACATTCGCCTGTTCTACAAGTAGTTGTTGAATACCCCTCATCCACCTGGCACCCTCATCCTCTGCGCTTTGAGGATGCACAGCAAACACAGCAGAGTGCTGTCCTCAGGTGAGGGGGACAGACAGATTAGGAGTTTGGGATTAACACGTACAGACTACTGTATGTAAAGCAGGTAAACAACAAGGTCCTACTGTATAGCATTCAGTATCTTGTAATAACCTATCATGGAAAAGAATCTGAAAGAGACTATATATGTATGTACAACTGAGTCACTGTGCTGCATACCTGAAACTAACACAACACTATAAATCGACTATACCTCCATAAAAGTAAATTAACAAATATATTACCAATGCATAAAAGGAGCCTCCTGGTAAATGAAAATTAGGATAATTTAGGCTTAATATTTACCTCTTCAGCTTTCTTATTCTGCTCTTATTCTAAAAACAAAACTTCATGAATGCAGTAAAAACCAAACAAACAAAAACGCCAAAATACTGTCCTCAGGAAGCTTCCTTTATATTGTTAACATCAAACTGAGAATGTTAAAAGTAAAGAAACTTCCCTAAAGGCAGCAAAGAACCCCGAGGAGCAGAATGTTCTCCCCTTTAAGGCAGCTGTGAGCGGTCTAGATTCCGGTTACCACAGTGGGGTTTCACTTGCCGGAATAATCACCCAGCAAACCCTTTAGCGTTTCTCGGTGCCGCGTAAGTGACCTACCTGTAGTTGAGGTCTTCACCTGAGAGAGAGAAGTGCTCGTACAGCGAGTAGGCCTCGTTCCCTTCCCAGTCTTTCAGGTGTATTTTGAGCACGTAGCGCTTCTGATTAGTCACTTGTGAAACAAACTCGTTTCCCAGCCAGTGCTCGCCTGAAGGGTTCCCAAACCCCTGTAATCCAAGTGGTAGAATTCACTGACTTCATTTATTTTTTTCCCTTCACATACTTGAAATCAGCAGTCCATCAGTTTAGCACAGGGTAACCTTCAAATATTCAGCTGAAACTCCTTCCTGTACTCTGAAAATTTGGAGTCTTCCATGTAAGAAATATATTTTTTTAAGAGGCCAGCTTTAAGAAACAAAGCTCTTACTGGATGAAAATTAGTATTGGAATAGTTAGAACGGCTTGGGGAACCACCTACAGAAGCATAAGCATAAACAGCTTAGTCTGTGGCTGTGTGAGTCCCCATGAGACAGTTTACCAAAAAAAAATGCTAATCCTGCCGTTAAAAGTAACCCTGTCATTCGAGTGCATTTTTTTTCATGTTTTTTTGTACTTGATCTCTGAAATTAATTTGGGAGGAAGGGGTGAGTAGGTTTACTTATTTTATTTCATTTATTTATTTTTAGTGGAGGCACTGGGGATTGAACCCAGGACTTCGTGCATGCTAAGCACCCACTCTACCACCGAGCTATACTTCCCCACAGCACACCTTTTGTTTGATATATAGTTCATCGTATATTGACAGCACCATTCTTTAACAGGGAGACTGAAACACCAGTTAAAAAGAATCTTTCAGTTAAAAAAAAAAAAGGTCAGAAGTCATTGGTTAGTTTTGGATTTGTGGCAAAGATTCTGCACATTCTCAAAGTTAGTTTTCACAAAGCAAATTATTTTCAGATGGTTTACAGAATATCCGTACGTACCACTTTGTATTCTCTCCAAGTCCTCTGAAAATCGACACTGCCATCTTCACGTCGCTGAATAACCGTCCACCCACCTCCGCCAGTCTCCATGTCACAGTAAGCCTGCGACGGGAATGCGTAATTACTGCCTGGGAACCGTCCCTCACTTGGGTCTTAAATAACAGAAGTGGGATGAACGGAGATACCTATAATAAGACCAGGCTGATGGGGTTCTCTGGGGTAAATCTCTGTGGTCTTCCAAGAAACAGGGGATTTTAAAGAAATTGAAAACCATGAATTTAAAATGATGATGAAAAATAAACAGTAACCTGACACGACATGTTGATGAGCATGTGACCTGGTCATCATGTGTTCCAGGCTAAAGCCCCACCCCAGTGGCTGACCCAGAGATCGCTGTTCCTGAGAGAGTCATGGTAGATGGGACATGTTGGCCGACTGGCCCCAATCTCTCGTCTCCAGCCTGCAGAAATCCATGCACTCGTGTTCACAGCCCTGGAGACCTTTACGATGGTCATCAGTCCCGATCAGCTCTCCAGGGAGTTGTGTAAAGGGAGACTCTTGAAGGGTCTCCAAGACTCCTGCTATGCTGTGGGACTCTTAGCGTCCCCTGTGGGATCCAAGTCGGGTTTCCTGGTTTGTCCCTCAGAACCAGGGGCAGGGGCCCCAGGTACCTACTGTGGTGTGTGTGACCCGAGTGGGTCCCCACAGCTCTGCCCACACGTCCTGACTTCATGCATCTTTGCACTTTGCTTACTGCCCACTGTATTTCTCTTCCCAGCTCTTTTGATTTCTGCTTTAAACTGGCTTGGTGGGTTTAAACTCTTCAGGACAAAAAATTCTTTCTTGGGCTAAGAGCATGCGTGCCCAATTTCAGCGCAGCTGGAGTTTTATTATTATGAAATTAAAAACCCCTGAAAGCAAGATTATACAACTAGTTTTAAATAATGAGATTATAGTGGAACGAAGACGTTTTCCAGAAAGTTAAGATAAATTTTACCTACAGCCTACAAGGTATAAATGCGAAAGTTAAGGTTCAAAACCAACCAGAAGTATTCTTCCTTTGTCATTTTCCATGGTCTTTTAGGGAGAATAATGGAGATCATTTGGGCAGAGTAAGTTTAGATGTGAACCAGTCTGCATTTGTGAGCTAAGTCCTAGAAGCGGGGGCAAAAAGAGAACCCATGGGGCCGAGCCCTGCCCTTTCACATTCGGCGCTTGCCTGCGGTTTCGTCCCCGGGGGACAGAGAGCTGGGGTTAGAGCCCAGCGCCTGTGCCCCTGTAGACCTCTCGCTAGTCCAGGCTCTCGGGAAGGCCATTTGGCCTGTATCGATTTCCCGAAGATCCTCGTGTGTGGACACATATGTTCCACTAAAGAAAGTTACATTGATTAAGAATAGAATGATTCCCTTGTTTCACATCAGTCAGACACGGGGACCCCACAGATCTGCTGAGTGGATCTCCTGTGCTGATGGCATGCATTATCATTGCTCCATCGCCGAGCAGCCCTCTGGGCCGAGCACTGCTCTGTGCTCTGCATGCTACCTGTGATCTCACAGCAGCTCTGCCGTGATACTGTAATCCTACGTTGTTAGAAGGAGAAAAGGTGGGGTAAAGGTAGGTTAATTTGATCAGAGTCATTCAGCAATTAAGTGGCATTTAGGACTTGAATAAGGTTTCTCTAATTCCTAATTCTGTGATGTGTCTGCTGCTACAGAGAAACTTGACTCTTGTTAACAGGCCGAAAGTCCCTGCACGCAGCTCCAAGTTGAAATCAGTTCATAAGTAATACTGCCTCTTACTTGTGTCTGGTCCACAAGACGGTCAGTACTGCTCCCTTCAGGCAGTGTGTGTGTATGTGTGTGTGTCTGTCTGTCTGTCTTAAAAGCTCCATTTGGTAAACTGAATAAGCCCACTGGCCTGAGGAGTTGGGCACACCCGTTAACGCCCGTCCCCTGAACGGCATGCTGGGCGGTTCCCCGCGAGCCTGCCTTCATTCCAGGAACACTTGCTTCTTCCCTGTCAGAATCGCCCCGATGCAGTCACTGATACTTAAATCAGAGAAGGAGTTCATCCTGGTAGGGGCATCAGTCAAGACTAGAGGCTGGTGCGGGGATGGTCTGAGCCCCACCTTTCTCTAGCCCATTAGGGACAAGGATAGGATCATGAGAACACTGTCTTAGTATTATTCTGTCCAGATGAGGAAGAAAGAGCCGAGCAGTTATAGGACTGAAATATTACGGTTAGCTGGGTCGTGACGCTTCCAGAGGAAGACAGTGTTCAAGTAGTTATCCACGTAGCCCAAAGGGACTGATGAAAAATGATGCAGTCGATCGTAGCAAGGTCCAAAAGGCAGATAATGCCCAAGACCTCACCGCGCCAATCACAGCAAACCCGAGGGCGGCAAATGCCCTGGACGCGCGTGCTCTGGCGGTGCCGGGACCTGAGATCTGGCTCCACAGCTCAGTGCCTTTCAGCAAATAACGCTTGATTTACATGTCAGGCCTAAAAGCTCTGAGGCCACAGTGAGAGGCTAAACTGCACACAGATAAACGTTAGGAGTCAGGTATTCTGTGAAATTCAGGGAAGGAGACTGTTTTGTCTCTAACTAGCAAAAACGTAACCTCAAATGCTTCCAGTAAGTGCCATCTTGAAGTGTCTATCTTGTGCAGAAACCTAACGAGTTCTTCGAAAATAAAGTTGACATCTTTAGGCCTCTTTTGGAAAAGATCTGCCCAAAGATCTGCCGAGCATTCTTTTCTTGAATCAGATGAAACAGGGCAGGCGAGGGTGACTTCATCTCTCACCCACGCGGGGGAGCTCGCCTGGCAGTCTCTGGGGGCAGCCGACATATGACAACTGCCATGCACCGAGGGGACGGTAAGTCCTGAATCCTTCTCACCTGGAAACCTCTCTCCACAACTGGCACATCATGTCACGTGACAGGTGAGGAAGCCAAGGCCCCACACACTTGAGCTGACTTGCTGAGAAGCGCACATTGGCAGAGTCAGGATTTAAACCCAAGCCTGTCTGACTCTCTCCCCTTAGATCAGTCAGACTGTGAATTACGGAGTCTGAAGTCTGGAAGGGACTCCAGAGGTAACTTCATCTGGACCGGATATTTTGGAGATGAAAAAATCGAGTTTTCAAAGATTGTCGTTCCCCGCTGTGTAAATGAGTTACTTTTCCTGCATATGTGTAACGCCGCCAGCCAAGGCATTCTAAGGTGCTGGGGACATTAACTGAGTTTCAAGGTTGATTTAGAGCAGCATAAATGAATTAGAAAGACTTCTTTGGAAAGTATTATTTTGAATAGCACCGTGTTTGTCTGTTAAATTCATAATCAAGTATGTGTTGTTTCAAATTTCATGTCTTTAAATCCTTAATGTTTGTATCTTAAAAGTGTTGTCTTTATTACCACGTTAAATACTGAGGGTAGTCCTGAGTTCAAAGAGATAACGCTTTCAGGACCCTCTGAAATGTCCATTTTAATAGACCATTGTGTGCCTTTTCTGTTAAGTGTTTCTGTTTGTTCAGTGGGTGGCTGTTTTTACAGTTAGATGTGAACGTATTTATGGACACTGAACATACCAGTCATCCAATATTAAACACTTCACGCTCATTCTCATATAACGTTCTTTTACCTTATCAAACCTCTAAAAGAAGCCACACTGAGATATTCCCCTGGGAAATGACTTTTCTTTCTCATCTAAAACTGAATGTCTCCCAAAGCAACTTCGGGAGCCATGCTCCCCGAGAAGTCCGGGGTAACCAAGAACAACCGAGTTAGGCTGTACACTGGCTCCTCCCGATGCTGAGTTCTGGTTGCTGGTTCACTTAATGCTTAGTGATTGTGCTTACATCTTGAAGTAACAAATCTCTGATGATGTGATGTGAGTCTTCCAGCCCATCAGACGGGGTCAGAACAGCCCACCCCAGCGGGTCTATGGGCCGGAACTGTCTCCATAACCACACGTTCTTGGTCTTGGGTGCTGTGACAGCCTTGGCACTGATGGTGCAAAAGCAGTAGGGAGTGACATTACCAGCCCCCTAGAGTGAACCAAGGAAACGGCACCAGCCGTGCTGGGGTCACTGTGTGCTTCAGTCATAGGCTTGCAACTGGGGCGAAAAAGCCAATTTCACTTCAGGATGTCTCTGACAGCGCAGTAAAAATTATTCATTTTATTAAACCTCTACTGCTAAGTGCATGTCTTTCACATTCTGTCTGATGAAGTGGGAGATGTGTGTCAATCACGTCTGCACTTCAGAGTGCCATGGTCATCTCAGAGAAACGTGTGTGTGATCGGTTTAGTTGCCAGCTGAATGAGCCTTTTTTGTGGGAGGGTGGATGGATGGAATCCCATTGTTACTTGAAATAACGATTGAAAGATAAACTCTGCTTATTTGAACTCTGGTATCTGGAAGATATTTTCTTTAAGATGAATGAAGTGAGTCTGACACTTCAAGGCAGACAACTGACAGGATGCACGATCAAGCCAAATGCAAGGGGAATACAAGCAGATTACCTTCTGCACAGGACAGAGACGTGATAAGACAGATCTGTCTACATCATTACTTTGCATCGTCAGTGTCCTGTGCACAGTGGTTGGACTCGGAGCCCTCGGCTGGTCCTCTGTGTGGGGTCAGTGTGCCTGGCTCTGCTTGAGTGAAGCTGGAAGCCGCGGGGGCGTGTGAACGAGCGGCTCCTCCGCTGAGCCAGGGAGGTGGCTGGGAGCCTTACCTTTTTCTCTTCGGTGGAGTTCGGGAACCTGAGTGCGTAGACGCCGCTGGTTGTCAGTCCCGCTTTGAACGCATCCGCGCAGTCTCGGAAGACGATTTGTTCTTCCTTAGCAACCAGGGAGTTCTTAGCTGCTTTTTAAAAATAGGAAAGCTTTTAAAGGGAGTTCATGAAAAGAAAGGTTTATTATTTCAAGATGCGCTATTTGGTAAGTTTTATTACATTTGAATTCTTACAGTAAGTAAAAGAGATGCAGAAAAAGTTACTCTTTCAGCCTATTTCATAATAATTCTCAAAGACTGTTTGCCAATTATCCATGGTTCCTTTTTTCTCTCATCAACTTTATGTAATGCAGGTACTTCACAATCAGGCAAAATAAAATATTACTTCTAAAAAACATCTTCCACCTTGAGTAGACTCAGATAAAGCTCTTATGGAAGAATGAAAGAGAACTTACTAGAAACAGTGTTCGCTCAACAAAGACTGCACCTGCGGCCCGCTAGCCACTACCCTACGGAGGCCATGGTGTGTAGTTTCCTTTCGTTTTGTGTATCTGAGGCCAAGTCTTTATACATTTTTGTAGACTGTTGGGTGAAGACGTTTGGCATTCTTTGGAGTTTTAGCGACTGTCTCCTAATAGCTCGTGTTGAAGAGGAACCTGACATTCATTTATGTGTCTTTGAAACTCTTCCTTTAAGTCTAAAAAGTCTAGGACTGAAATTCTTTCCAGTTCTGCTCTCAGCATTTAGATTTCCCAATCCCTTTTTTGCCACATTAAAAAAAAAATGTATTCTTGCAGGTATTAATTTCTATTTCATTCTAGAGGCCCACAGAGGCCTAGGTCTCTGGTGGGGTGTGGGAGGCACACGGGGCGGGGCCTCCGCTGCTGCTCTGCCCCCACCCCCACCCCCACACTCGTATTTTCTGCCCGGCTCTGAGCCACGTGATTTTCTCTGCTCCTCGGAGCTCACCCTTCACACTGTCTTGGTTCCACCAGGCGCCAGATGATTGTCTTTGCCTTTTCTATGAATGTGAAAAAAAGTATATATGATTTTTCTAAATTACAGGAGTGAAACTCTAGCTGGAAGGCACATGCTGCAACCTGGCACCTGGCGTGACACCTGCCACTTGGCATCAAGATTGTGCCGCTGTTTTTGTTTGTTTGCTTCCTTGTTTAAGTAGAACCCTTGTTTACGTGTCTCTGTTATTAACGCCGGGATGACTGGGACTCAAGGGAAACGCGAGAGCGTATTTCTTACGGAAGGGAAGGATGTCGCTACATCATTCCTGTGTAAAGTGCATCTGTGTCTAGAGAATACGGTGAAAAGGGCATGATGAGACAGACCATCGTAAGGACAAGAGCCGGTGTTTAAGAATAAAAGCACCACGCAGGTTGCGTGTCCCGTCTGTAATTAATGACTGAGGAGGCATCCCTTCTTCCCCCAGATGCCTGAGAGAAGCTGACAGGTGAAGCAGGAATAAGGAAGGCGAGATGCAGTTGAGGATGTGGTGAGAGAAACTGGCGTTTCTTGGGTGCCCGTTTAATGTCAGTTACTGCGAATAGTATCTCATTTAATCTTCGCAACAACCCTGTGGGCCCAGTATTGTTTTTCCCACTTGAAAAATAAAATGGTCCACTGTGGCTTAGTAACTTGCCCAGCCCCATACATTTAGTTAATGATGGAACTAACTCAGGGTAGGCTCTTTGAGCCCATGAGTCAAAAATGTGTTTGGGGTATTTTGCCTCATAATAGTATAATATAAACTTCCCTCCCCGCTTCCTCCTTTTTAATTGGTTCCATATTGAGACCCTGGAAAAATTTCATATGAACTATGGAAGAGAAATAGTGCCTTTTCTGAAGGGTGAGAATCTTCTTAGCATTATGAAAGTGTCGTCGACTAGCAGCAATTAAAACTGAAGAGAAAATTACCTATAAACTCTACTTACAGTTTGATGTCGATATCATGGTCAATAAATTATGAACTGTCTCCATCAGATCGTGCTGCTGCTTTTGGAGGACTGAATTATTCACCGTGGCAGTCACCAGTTGTTTCTCTAGTTCTTCAATGATGGAATTTTGCTTGGACACCAACACCTGGAGCTCATCTTTCTCTTCTTTTATCGACTGAAGTTGAACTATGTGCTTATCTTCCATATCCAGTACTTTCTTTTCCAGGAAACTTGTAAAGGGAAATGATGGTTGGTTAGCAGACAGTTTTCTAAGTCCCCTCAAAGGCACGTGCTTTGTAAACATCACTTGCGAAATCCTTATACAGTTGTTTATATTTTTAAAATTTCTAGTTGACCACGGCACCATAAGGCATCCTTTATGATGTTAAAAGAGTTACAAAGTAACACATTGTTGCCACCGCCCTGCAGAAGCTCTGGAGCTTGCTGAGAAGACTAGACAGGTGACACAGGTGTTACTTAGACATGAGGGGAAAATACCCCGGTGACAATGTAAGCTTCATGATTAGAAGCTGCCACATGCAGGGCGTTTGAAGACCATGGTTTCCCTGCAGGGGACTGTGGACAATGAGGCGGTGCCTCTGGTGTTGGGGACGCCTGTGGGTCCGTGGGGAGAGCCCGGGGCTGAGCACCTGGCCTCTACACATGACCACCTGTGTCTCCTTGCTGGATCTCAGTGTATCTCTATCCTAATGAAAGTCCGCCTTTCATTAGAAGTAAATCTCTATCTAAAATGAAGGCATGAGATTAGATGACTATCTCTGAGACCCCTTCTAGTCATAATCTGTGTGTCTGTTACTCCTTTTTTGGGGCAGTAGCATTTTCTGAGCCTGGAAACATTACTCAGCCAAGGGGCTGTCTACCCACTGTAGGTCTTAACCTAGAAGCATTAACAATCAGTACTAGCAATTATTATTAGAAATTAGAAATTATTAGAAAATTATTAGTTGCAGCTTTTAAATTTATCCCAGCCCAGCAGCCACTGTCAACCAGCCATTGTGTATGACAGTAAGTATCCTGCCAAAGTCTCAAGTCGAGAAATGAGTGCAATGCAGTCACTTGCTTTCGACTTTCGTCAACTCTACCATATCCATTTTTCAACTATTATTTCTTGTTATTTTTCTTGTCAACCTACTTATTTTTTTAACTTGTATATCATTCTCATTAATTTGAAAACCAAGATGATTTACCATAAGCAAAAGATAACCTAAAAGTAAATGCATAACATTTTTGTTTTCTACCTAGAATCATCTCTAGTACCATCAGTGTACAGGCAGTACTCTTTGGAGACACTCCTACAATGCTTGACAAGTAAAGGGAAATATACAGGGATTTTTAAGCCACTAGTCTATGCCACCCTCAAAGTAATGTTGCTGAAACTTGTTATCCTACCAATCTTCTGTTGTCTCTAATATTCTCTGGAGAGACATAGAAGATGTAATGATCCCACGGCTGAGACTGTGAATGAGGGTGCAAACACTCTTGGGGCAGATATTTAAAAAGAAAAAAACACATTAATTTCTTTCTCCCAAACCTGTACCAGTGTAACCTAGAGGGCAGCCACATCCTGACTGAAAAGATTTAATCTTAAAATGAAGTGTAAGCAGGGACTGAAGAGTGCAGCCCAGCCTCCGGTCATCCCAGACCAGGCTGGCTGTGCGCAGCGCCGCGTAATGAGCCAGCCACACTAGCGTGGTGAGGAGTCTCAGAGATCAGGTTCCACGGCAGCGTTTTGAAAAATACACGTTGGGACCCACTACTGGCTTGTGGAATCAACTTAGTGAGTTGAAATCAGTATTTCTTAGTGGAAGGACATTAAACAAATGGGATAAAACAGATGAGAATACAGTGTAAATTCACAGCAAGAGCTTGGCCAGTGTAGCCAGTGCCGTGGTCAGGAGTGAGGGCGGGTGGAGGGAGGAAGTGGGGGTGCCTGCATTGCCTGGCGTGTTGTGTTAGCAGCTTATTTGATTTACTGATACAGGATGCTGTGTTTGATCATCACCTGAGAAGCTGGACTTGGGTGTGGCTTAACTTTATGTTGACATAATTCACGGTCCATTGAGAAGTGTGGGGAAATACTCCTTTTGGCAGAAATATCAAGGATGAATCATGTTTCTTTCATAAGTTTTTATTGCCTCTCTTCAGAAGGGGACAGTGTCAGTGACAGTACTTAGCAACAACAATAACCACTATAACAGTAATCACAATTTCATTGAACTGGTACAAGCAGCCCCTAACTTAATCAAAAGAAGAATAACATGAAAAAATGCATAGTAATTTTCATCTTCAGCTGGTGAATCTAAAAGTGTTATAGTGGTGACTGAAACTGTTTCAGGAAGAAAGCAGTTTCACTTTGGGGGGATTATTGAAGATAATTTAAAATATGGTTTGTCAAATGTGCAATGCACTCACGTATTTTTGTTCTTGCAAATGACAAAGGCTAGTCACAATTAAGACACCTGAAAACAAAGCCTGCCAAACTCGTTGAAAGTTGTAAACTCATCAACACAGTTTTCTTATTTATTTACAGTTGTTGATGAAAAAACATTATTATTACCATATTATTTCATGTTTGTGACAAAAGAGAACGTGATTTCTACAGCTGCTGAGCAGATTTTTCTTCCTATAGGTACAGGTTTGTTACATATGGTTTTTATAAGTCAGCTGATAAAAGTCACACCTTTCAGTACCCCTACTAGGGCGAGTCATTCGGAAACAGCTCTTATGTGACCCCAGTCTGAGTCAGGTGCCTGCATGCAGTCCAGTTGTGGAGCTGTGCTGCTGCAAGTCATGTAGGACTTTAGTTCGTTAGATATGTTTGACATGGTGGTTTTACGGAGAAAATATTGTGAAGTTTAAATATAATTTCATACAAACTGGATTTGAATTATTGGAAAAGCACATTATTGGTCAAATGCAAATTAACCTAGGAAAAATCGTGGAGGATTAAAAAAAAAACATGTGAGGGCTCAGGAAACAGGGCAGGTTTCCATGTGGCTGGAGTTACTATTTTAAACATTGTAAAGCTTTAACATAGAAAAGAATCTCACCAAATCATGGGTGATCAAAAAATATAGTAAAAGTTGTCAACTGTTTTCACAGGAATTCAAGCTGACTTTGTGTAAGAAAGTTTGCACATTGTGGTAAATGAAAATATTAAGCAGTGTGTCTGAACTTGGGAAGAAGATGCACACTTTTCTAGGCAAAAGGCAATACGATTTGACAAATATTTACAAAGGTGGTGTCTGGGTCACATAATCGACGTGTGTAAATGGTAGTGTTAGCATTGCAGCATACTAAATTAGAAACTTACAGCTCAAGTGGTAGAGTGCATGCTCAGCACGCATGAGGTCCTGAGTTCAATCCCCACTACCTCCTCTAAGAATCAATAAATACTAAATAAACCTAATTACGTCCCCCCACCAAAAAAATAAGTAAACTTTATTTAAAAAAAGAAAAGAAACTTGAGGCAGGAACCATGTTCAGTACCAGAGCATCCCAGCATAGCTGCAGCCTGCTGTAGACAACACTGAATAAGGCCATTTTAACAAACGAAATTAGAGAGATGGTTATATCTCAATGATTGGTTTCAGACTTTTAATTTATTCCTTTTCAGAAGAGAATAATTGAAACAGTAAAGAAAAATATTTGGATTAAAAATGTACTTGTTTTTCAAACCCCTCAATCAATGAGTTGAACTTGTTACCCAAAGAACAAAAAGAATTATTTCAGCTTAGTTCTTGATTAACAAGAAAGAATGATTATAAGACAGTAAACTTATTGTCATTTTTTGTTAAGAATGAAGAATCATTTGTAAGGGGAGGGTATAACTCAGTGGTGGAGTGCATGCCTAGCATGCACGAGGTGCTGGGTTCAAATCCCCAGTAACTCCATTGAAATAAATAAATAAATAAATAAACCTAATTGCCACCCCCCAAAGGAATTGTTTAATTGTGACATGGAGTGTATTCCCTGACCATCCCCAAGTCACATATGCATGTCTTGAACAGGAACAAGGAAATAAGCACACCTACCATGCGAATACGATTATCCTCATATATGCCCCCCCCCCGAATAAACCTATGAAAACAGTCCCACTGATCATAATCTTTGATTTTCTGTTGCTTTTCTTAGGATTTTTAAAAATCTTACTTAATATGCTCACATTCAGTATTAACTTTGTTTTTACTTTATCATATGCTGTAAGAGTAAACATTGCATTATGAAACGTGCAGTGGTTTACAATAAAGTGCAGTCTTCCTGCCGTAGACCGCTTGGCGTTGGAGTAAACTGAGGCCTCAGAGGCACTGGCACTCAGTGGGGTTCAGACCGAGATGCCTTGGGCAGCGTGGCTGTTACTCCGCAACCCCGGCAGTCATTTTCCAGAGATTCATCCATAATATTGAGGTGGGGTTTGGAGGATTAGTGTAAGAGACTCTTTAAGGGATGGGGTGGGGGCAGCGCAGAGGTGGAACAAGATGAGAAGGTGATGCCGCTTCGGTGTCTTTCTCCCAGCCCTCCCTCCCCTTTCCCCCTCGAGGTTTCTTGTGCATTAAGAAACACAGCATTTTGAAAGCCACGCTTATGATTAACAGTCACATGAAATAGGCTTTCGTATCTAGAAACTGTATGCTTCTGGATTATATATTTTTGTACTTTTATTACCTGTTCTTATCTTGCAGTTTATTTATTTCACTGGTCTGATCCAAAATCTGTTTTTCCAACTTGTTTGTAGACAGGGAATGTTCCAGAAGCTGGAGTTCAAGTCTTGTGGTCTGATTTAATACCTGAATGTAACAAAACAAAATTCCTCTGTATTAATTATTGTTTAAATTAGATATTAAGTTCCTAAATTATAGGAAAACATAACTGAAACGTTATTTATTCACCCAAGTGGCTTATTTTGGCTTATTTTTCACTTTCAGAACAGGCTTGTGTCAGAACAGGATTACATCAGAGTGTGTTAAACACTTTTTCACCGTGTCTTTGTTTCGGAAGGTGTATGATAGTTCTGGACAGTGGTGTTTGTGTCAAATAATATGATGCTTGTTCTGCCGCATTTTGTCATTTCTTTTCCACAGTGAGATAAGTGGGAGTATAAAACGGTCACATTTAATGTCAGAAATTGTTGATAAGCGAAATGAGGCTTTTCCTCTGCTCAAAACAAAATGCTGTTCTCACATTTGTTTGTCAGTCAACAAAGTGTTTAGAAGTCACATTGCCATCTGTAAAAACGTGGCTTGTTTTCAGCCTGGCATTTCCTGGTTTGTATTCACTTGTTTAGTCTTCTTTTTCCTCTTTTCCTTTTCTCTTTTTCCTATTTTGAAGCTCCTGACAGCCCCTCAGGAAACGGTCACATGGATGTGAGGTGGGAGCTGGGTTTTGCTCTGTGGCCACTTCTGACACATTGTGTGGCTGTTCCCATTGTGTCTAAACAGCGTAAAGAATGGACTCTCTCGCGTTTGGCCGCCTTCTAGCAGGAAGAGCCCATTACTCACATCCTCTGGGTCGCGGCTACTCAGGATGTGACGCCACGTGTAAGCGTGAGGCAGAGTTGTTGCCCAGGAATGAGGGTCCTTGAAGGAAGCATTGTTTGCCGGGTCTGGGTCATTCCTGCAAGCCGGCCCCGCCCCTGTGCAGGGCAGGGCAGCGCTGGATGCCCTCAGACCGTGAATGCCCTCCTGGGAATGAGCAGGGCCACTGGCCAACCTGAGGCCGGGCTTTTAATAGTAAGACCTGGAATGCAGGTTTGCTGCAGCTTCTTTGGGCCCGAACATTCTATGTTGGTTACAGATAAAAGGAACTGGAAACTCGACCTTTTCTTTAAGGACTGTAAAAAGTACAACACGGGAGAGATGGGGGATGGTGTGTGGGTCCCGACTGGCCCAGGACCCACTGCAGTGTTTTTCCTTCACGTTTCTGAAGGCCTCCAGCTGCAGGTGACTGTCTGAATTATCCAGCTCACGTGGTCGTCTGTTGTCTGTAAGATCTCAGGCCTCCGACTATCCCTCATGGTCCAGTTGAAGAGTTTGTCACTCGGACAGGCCAGAAGAACCTTCTGTTGGAAATTTTCCCATTTGGATTTAAGCCTATTTCACGCAGTACTTGCTCAGCAGGTGCGATGAGTTGGTACAGAGTTCCGTCCGTTGGTGTCCTTGCTTAGACTCAAGCGTCTTAATGTGCTGGGGTGAGCCCTACAGGGTCTGGTCTTGCCAGCCACCTTCCTGTTTTCCTGTTTTCCTGGATCGTGTGATATCTGGTTTTGCAGTAGTTTTTTTTTTCCTTAATCATGTGACCCCACAAAATCTCATTAAATGCTAACAAGTCTGACATACAGGATGGCAGAGATTCACACCATTGCTCTGTATCTTATCCATTTTTGCTGCTCTTATCTGAAGCAGAAGCAATGTGATACTACTTTTTTTTTTGGAAGAGCTTGATTGCTCAGTTTTACTATCAAAAGGTGGGAATGTCACCTAGACATCACTAATTTATTTTAATAATTGATAGTGGATATATTGATACATTTACTTTTAGATTTTTGTGTCTTTTCAACTTT